AGGAAGAAAGGAAGAGACAGAAGAGAAATAGGAAAAACATAAAAAGATGAAAAGGAAAAATCAGAACCATTATGATTTTAGCCTCATAATGTCAATTATTCATTATGATTAGAGAAGGGGAACCTTTCCATGTTACATGGCGAAAGAAACATGAAAATAAGACAAGTTCTACCCTCCATTAAATTAAAAAAATAAATAAATCAAAGGGCCACAAAAATGATTTTGAGATATTCATAAAACTAGAGCATCAGTTACAATATGAACTAGAGTAACATACACTCAAATACTCATTTGTGACTTACTAAAAGCATATATGCAAAGGAACCATCCAAAAAAGGAACCCAGCAATGTAACAAAAAAATTTCTAGCTCTACAATTTGATAGTACAAACTACAAAACCAAAAATCCTCAAATGAATCCGGGAATTATTTATCCATGCTAATTTCTGAATTTTTTTTTTTTTTTTTTTTTGAATACAAATAAGAAGTAGATGAAAGTAGGGATGCCCTTAAGAATGGAGAATAAATAATTAGATGAATTAGCAAACAGAAGGAAATGGGATGCACTCAATCAATCATGGTCTGAGCCCACCAACTGCCACTTCTTTCAGATCAAAATTCTTTCTTTTTTGTTTTTACACTTTTCTCTCTTTCAATATTCACATGCACACATGTGCCATGTTGGATTTTATTAAGTGATAATATCACTGCCCTATCTTTCTATTGCTTGTAACACATTTGGCACCTATGCATGTACTAAAAAAAACTGATGGAACCCATGTGAAATAGCAGCTTCCTAGTGAAGTACATCTTTCTTATTATTGGACAGAGCCAGTGAGGATTTCAAATAATGAATTGGCCACATTGAATTATTTGATGCTTGTTCTTTCTAATATACCCTTATTTCATTGTGGGAATCCAAGGGGTGTTAGAATGAAGGGGATGTTGAAAAATGAAAACTTTGCTTACGTGCATCCACGTGCCAAGGAAAATCACTACCAGCCTTTTATCATTTGAAAAATGAAAAGAAAAAGAAAGCCCATATTACTCACAGCAAAGAGATGCTAAAACGGGATCATAATGGTCCTAATTGCACGTGTACATGCATGTTGTTGGAACACATATTGGTTTTCCGAAATTATTTTTCCTTTCCTTGATCAAAACCTTGATATGTGTTCTGGGCTTGCTTTACTTTGCATATTATTATCTACATCTAAGAATATACAAGTCAGATAACACATTCTCTTCCGGATGGCCCAAACACTGAAGCGACTCAACTGTTCAGGCTCAGTCCTTATCTCCAACCCACACGTCAGCCCTAAGGGCTGACGTGTGGACCCTCTCATCCCCCAACGTTGCAGCACGTCCAAGGGATACACCGAAGTGTCCCATCTTGGGACGCTAACCCCCAAAGGCGATCGCCACAGGCACCTTAAAGGAAAACAACCCTTTGCCCAGTGTTGACATCGCCAGAAGCAGAGGGCGCAGCGCTGCCACAATGGCAGCTCCAGCACGCCTAACACTGCCATCATGAGAGTAAACCCTAAGGAGGGTTGACCCCTTCCTCACGAAACCACCCCATTTTCCCTATAAATAGCCCCCAAGGGCACACCTTGGAGGTATCTTATGTATCGTTACATTGCCCATTTACTTATAATCATATTGTCATCTTTACTTATCCCTTGTTGATTAACTGCTATTACTTTGGTCTGTACTTGTGCTAAGGGTATCATCCATACAGTGACTCATCCCCAAAGAGAACATAGTGGGCTTATAGATCCCAACGGTACACATTCCATGAATTTTATACTTTCGGACTAAGAAGCCATGTGTATATATATAGCGAGAGATATGTACATATGATCATAACCTCACATGTTTCAGGCCCATTAGGTGTTGGGTCTCAATTTGGTTTACCATTTGTTTTTTAAAGGGAAAAGTTCACCAATGCCCCTGTAGTTTGTTTCAGAATCACCTATGTTTATGTGGTTTTTTTTTCTATCACATATGTTCCTGTGGTTTGCAAAAGTGTATGTGTTTTTATCACATATGCCCCTGTGGTGTTTTATTTTTTACAAAGCACATGAGCATATGTGATAAAAAAAATCACAGGGATATAGGTAATTTTGAAGCAAACCATGAACTTTTCCCTTTTTTAAAATATACTTGACCAAGGAGAGGGGGAAAAATTGAACCCATGAAATTGAATATGCTAATACAGTAATCAGTGTGTGCTATTGGTCTAATTGATTTTGGTTAGAAATTAAAGTATGACTCTTTCTAATACACACTAAATCTTTGAAATTACAAAAAATTGGTGAACATAAACTACGATCAAAATGCGTTTGTGATCAGTATCACAAAACTCGTGTGCAAAAATTAAAGGATGCTTGTAGATAAGAAAAAAATGAAAGAGAGAATAGATATAACGTCCGACCGCTTCAAGAATCAATGACGATTCCCACATACTAACACGAGACTTTTCAGTGTGTTTTTTCCTCACTCGCCCACTTCTCGGGAAAACTTCCCAGGAGGTCATCCATCCCAGAATTGCTCCAAGTCAAGCACGCTTAACTGTGTGGAGTTCTTCCGATCCGGGTTACCGAAAAGCAGATGCATCTTGTTTGTATAGGTAGTACCAATTAATTCTTATAAGCTATTCCAAACTGTGCAGTCTCATACTTGCACAGTCTTTGGAATCCCTTGGGATGTTACATGCCCACCAGCTTCCGCCTGGTTCGTCCTCGAACCACACCGTACTGGAAGAGAGGCCTACTCTAATACCACTTGTAACGCCTGACCGCTTCAAGAATCAATGACTATCCCCACATACTAACACGAGACTTTTCAGTGTGCTTTTTCCTCACTCGCTCACTTCCCGGGAAAACTTCCCAGGATGTCACTCATCCCAGAATTGCTCCAAGTCAAGCACGCTTAACTGTGGAGTTCTTCCGATCCGGGCTACCGCAGATGCATCTTGTTTGTATAGGTAGTACCAATTAATTCTTATAAGCTATCCCAAACTGTGCAGTCTCATACCTGCACAGTCTTTGGAATCCCTCTCTTTCGGGTGTCAATTCGATTCATTCATGCATGTAACCCTCCGCTGGAAGCCTGTCAGGAGCCGCTCCTTGTCGTGCCTCTTTGCACCGGCGATCACTCCCTGCCCTCGTCAGCGCTCGAGATGTTACAATAGACACAACAAGCAATCTTATAGTTCATTTTTATTTGTCTTCCATTTCGTCTTAAATCTTCAATGTCTGTTAGAAATATGATATCAAGATATAAAATCATTTATCTGCTCTTATTATGAAAATATAAACCTTAACCTCTTGAGAAATTTTATTACATGACAATATCATTAATTTTTGGTCATATGTTCTAGTTATGTCACAAGAACAAAACTGAGTCTAGGGAGGTGTATTGGGTTGAGATTTTAAAAGATTTTAATGGATTATTTTTGGATAAAAAACTTCATTGGTATTCAATTAGGATTTTAAAAAATTATTTTAGCGTCCGTCCAAATCCGGTGGGATTCAGTCAAGATTTTAAACAAAAGAAAAACAACCTTGTGCTATTCAAAAATCTGATGATTTTAGTGAATTTTCTATTCGTATGAATTTCGTGAGACTTTTTAGTGAGAAGTAAAAATAGGATGCCTCTCCAACAATCTCACCCTAATTCCTAAGATTTTTTTAGATTTCTTTATTGCAGTGCTTCTTCGTTTGGCGGGTCGACTAGATTAAAATCGAGTTCCACCACATGAGCTTTGTCAAAGCTCAAAAACAGCATATTTTTAAGCGATTTTTATCACAAAACAACCCAGAAACAACAACCAAACAAAATTCTAATCTAATCCATCACAAAAATAGAAGATTTTTGAGAGCTTTTTAAAATTAAAAAAATAATTTTTCAAGTTATGGGTCGTGATTTTTCTTAGCACAAAAATGTGTGATTTTTGTATTAAAAATAACATAAAACAATGATAAAATAACTCGGAACAAAAACCCCTAAACCAATTTTCGTTTTAAATAAATGAAACGAGATTGATTTAAAGAAAAATTGAAACTTTCGTAATATGAATCCTATGTTTCGTAATAATACATTTATGAACGAAATTCTTTCACTATAGGAAACCATTTCAAACATTTTTTTGTCAATCGATCACTAAAATCTTATTTTTCAAAAGCACCAAAGCAATTTAAGGTTTCAATGTATCGATTGAAAATAATTTGAGAAATTTTTTAAACTTTAATGTAATAAAATCCAAAAATTCATATTCGTAATTTTCTTAGAATACATGCATATGATATGTTTAGAAAACTCTTATCACATAGAACAAAAGTCTCAAGTTTCCAAGATCAATAGAAAAAAATTTCAAATGAAATTTTATCATGAACTTTAGTAGGATATCAAGTTATATCAATGCATTTCTTTGTTATTTTTTTGTATCAATTCATGTAATTTTGAATGTTTGTTAAAAATTTATATATTTTTTAAAATCTTATAAATTCATATTGTTCTTTTAAATCTTATAAATTCTATTAAAATCCTCTTAAATCCAATCTTATAAAAGCTTGATTGTAAAAAAAAAATCCTTAAAGTAACTACAATTATAATTAGTCTTTTAAAATTTATAAAAAGAATTATCTCAAAATTATATTTTAAAATCCGAATTCAATTAACCCCAAAGAGGAGCAAGAAAATTAGACAAGCCTTATTGGGCGGCCATTTTTGGGTTGAAACTGTATAATCTTATGGTTTATCATTAATGGATCAATCTGTATGTGGTGTGATACAAGGAGCATGGATTCACTTTAGCCAATCATAATTCATGCAACGTGTATCATTCGTGGGCTGCCATGTCAGCATCTTCCGTCGATTGTCACAACTCACAAATCTGATAACTCTCACACACACAAAATCCTTTGCAAAAAAGCAAAGAATTATCATCACAAGTGAATGGCTGTCTTTGTTACACGCTACACTTTTTTTTTTGGACCACAATTTTTCTTTCTGTAATGACCATTAGAGAGAGAAGTGTTCAACACTGCTTTCCTCTACTCTCTTTCTTGCTGGCAATGGCTACTCTGCACTCTCTTGCATTGTCCTTTCCACTCTCCAATTTACTTCAGAAGCCACGTTCATACTCAGGTACAACCACCCTCTCAAAACATATCTCCCTCAACATAGCCTTTTTATCTTCTTTTTTTGTTTGGGTTCTTGCTTAATCTATGAAGTGTGCAAAGACTAGAGTTTTAGACTTTTTTCAAGTAGGGGTGATGAAATTAAGTTGGACATTTTATGGGCTCCCATTGAATTTGATAATAATTGTGTCAGATAAAAGATTCATTTTTTTCCCTCTTCAGTATGCTTGGGAATTCAACTTGTGGAGTTATCAGTAATGGCTGGTTCATCTAATGTTCTACACCTGAAATTCTGTAATTTCATTCAGATTAATTTTGTGGGGTTTAAGGCCTTACGGATTTTTTTTCAACTTGGTTGTTGGTAGCTGGGTTTGCCCCTATTACAAGACAGTTAGCATTCCAGCATGCCAAATAAGAAAAACAAAATGAGGATAGCATTCTTTTCTTTTCTTTTCTTTTCTTTGTTTTTGCCCTATTTTTTCTTGACAACATAAAATTCCTTATATGATGCTTCATTTCTCCTTATACCATAAAAGTTTATAATTTCAAAAGTTAAGCAATAAAATTATTTCTTGCAGTGTGAAGTATTTGGGAAAATAATTTAATATAACTTCCACCTTTTGACCGTAAACACATTGATAGACCAAAATGTGTGGTGTTCTTGAAGATGTGCAAAGAGGTGATGATATACCCATGTTGTGGAGAAAAGGAATAGGAGAACCTAGAACATACAATTGATAACAGAACTTGCATGTTCTAATGTTATTTAGTATTTGAAGTAATCTTAGAAGCCCATTTAGTTTCCAGCTAACATGCACCATTTTATATATGTGTGTAGAGCAATTTCTTGTATCATCTTCCCTTGATCCCAAAGTGTAGAAATCCTTTGAAGATATATATATGCTTTCTTAGAAGATGTTTAGCGCTAGAAGAATAAAAAATTATGCTTATGATCTGATGTTCATGGTGAACATAATAGTCTCTTTGTTTATGCAGTCCCATCTTCCATTGTCCATCGAAGTACACACTCCTCATTCAATGGTCAACGTTTACAAACATCATGTTTGAGGTTACCTATGCTAACACAAAATACTCCCATGAGCATGCCTGTTATCATGATGGCCAAACCAACAATACAGTTCATTCAAGGAACTGATGAACAGACAATACCAGATGTGAGGCTAACTAAATCAAGGGATGGAACAAATGGCATGGCTATTTTCAGGTTTGATCAACCCTCAGTTTTTGATTCTTCTGGTGAAGTAGGTGATATCACAGGTTTCTACATGATTGATGAGGAAGGGATCCTTCAGTCAGTTGATGTAAGTGCTAAATTTGTCAATGGAAAGCCCTCAGGAATTGAAGCAAAGTATGTAATGCGGACTCCACGGGAGTGGGATAGATTCATGAGATTCATGGAGCGATACTCTAATGCAAATGGTTTGCAATTCATAAAAAAATGAGTTAATGTGCTAACTTTTTCTTTCTATTCTTTTGCCCTTTGTCAGAGAAGTTTGTTTTCTGTAATATAGGCAGATAAAACTTGAGTTAAATGCTAAATTGGCACGAATGTAATTTCAATTCACGTACACATATCCTTTCTGACACCCAAGTTCTTATTAAATTTTGCTTGTCCTGCAGCTGCTAAGTTGTCATGTATGCTCATTATGCGATGACTTTTATTGTTTTAAATAAAGGCAAACTTTGTCAAGGAAATATAGTATACTCAGCATGCTGCATGGTAATTTTCTTAACTTGTTTTGTTGGCAACTGAGCTCCCAAGAGGAGTTTATTTGAGTCAGGGGTTCAAACCCTGTATCAAGCAAATTCTTGAAAATTTTTGAGAAGGGGCAAACCGGAGCAGTGGTTTGCAATTATGTAAAGGGTAAGGCAGCGTATAAGGATTTTTTGCACCCAACACTCGCTAGTCGAGTTAACTGGGAGTGGTTTTGTTTTGTTTGTGATCCTTCTACTTAATAGTTTATTAGTGGGTGTGTATTCACCTTGTCATTGTAGAATGTTTTTGCCTGACTGATGGGAGAGGAAAATAGCAGGGGATGTATTGGCAATATTTTAGCATGTTTGATGGATGCAATCTTATACGTCTCTATTCCTTTAGAACAAGCACTAGTTCCAAATATTTTTGTTGGGTATTAGACCCTGCTAGGGCTTAGGTGAAGTCCCACCACTAGAGTGATTCCTAAGGAATCTTCATTAGGAGGTCTATGGAGAGGGAGGGGGGAGTGGAATGTGAAGGGATGTTGAATCAAGAACTGTTTAACCCTTAATTGAAAACTTGTAAGTAAATGTCCCAATTTAGTGAGCTATGCTCACGGGACAGGACGCAATTCATATCAGTTAGAATTGACATGAATCACATCAATGCTGGACTAGCTGTTATGAACAGACACTGGCTTCGTTTACTCTTGTAATGCATGATCACTTACCAATGCCGTGGTTCTGATACATGCCAAGAGTTATCTCAAAATATTACAAAAGTCCAATTTCATTCAATACTAAAACAAAAAAACTATGGTGATACATGTGGATCGACTATCGAGCCTATTGGTCTTGTTCAGCAGAGGTCTCAAGTGACCTCAGATAAGAAAAGCATGTTTTTTCCTTTTCATTGATCATTTTTCCCATGTTGACATACTCTTTGGTTACGAAATGTCCTACACATTGGACAAATCAAAACCGTGTTCAGCAGCGTGATGGCCTGGGCCAATCTGAATTGATTTTGAGCAATGCATCAGGATTAAGGAGTCAACGGTTTTAATTATAACCAACTTTAATTTTTGCGTTAATTATAATTATATGTGTAGCATCACACTAAGTACTTTAAGTAGTTAATTACACAATAAAATGATTATACTTGAATCGAAGATGACAGACAGGAGTATATTATACGCAGACACGCAGGAAGGGTTTTTCAAACGGGGCAAACAGAGTACTAACAATGCCAATTGCCCAGCACTGCCACCTATGAAGTTTCATTAAGGACAAAAGTATCATTTAAATGTTAAACGAATTGTCTAGGAAGACACTTTTGGTATTTATCTCAAATTATGATTAATCATTTCATCAAAGCGAATCTCAACATCAATAGAGTTCATTTCATTCCTATCAAAGAAAGAAATGAAGAGTTACATACTTCAGAGGATGATTTTACAGTAACTTCTTTTCTAAAACCGATTGACAGTCATTTGGCAATAAATAATATCAACTGGACAGTGTATTCTGCAATACCATAGAATTTCAAACTTAAATTAATCAAATGGTAGCTTTCAACATGCCTACCGATTTTTTGCCCCAAAAATGGGAATTATACAAACCAGAAGCAGCAGGTGTGCAAAGAAACAGCTCATAATTTTCTCTAGTTACATCGATTATAAGTAGCAGCACAAGATAATCCATTCACGCAGGTATATACTGTAAAATGAGGTCACCCAATATACTAAAATGAATGTACCGTTTAAACTACGAAAAAGGGGACCAGGCAATCAAACAAATGGAAAAGAAGATAAGAGTAAGCTATTTATTTTCATGAAAATTACCAAAAGAAAGCAATCAAGCCAAACCTCGATATAAGGTCTCAAAACATTTTCACGTAGCACTGATGCATCGGTGAAATTCAATGGTTAAACTTGTTCAAGTTTACCATTAACCATAACAAAATTGTTTATATTTCCTATATGAATCAAACGAACAAAAATATTACATAAAAGAAATTATTAAACCTCGCAAAATGCATTAGAGGAATCACTGAGGAGAATACATGAAGCAGAAATCAGAAAAACCTATTTAACAAAAATGTGTCAAGCAAAGAATCTGTCTCCAAGGTGGCGGTCTTCAATCAGGAAGCCCGCTCGATATATTTGGACACAAAGTTCAGCAATAAGTTCACAGCAAGTCCCCAGCAATAATTTGCAATTCTTCCCCATTTCAGGGAAAGCATTTCTGAGGCTGCATTAAACCTCAATTCAGCACCCTGCACATAATTTTTTCCCCTTCCTTTTATGATTCATTTCTTTGCTCATTCTTCCAAGAATTTTTTGCAGCTTCAGCAGAGGATTTACTGGAATCTTCACTACCATCCTTTGGTTTCGAGAAGAAAGGATCCCATTCATGAGGTCCTACCTCATGCTTTCCCTCGTCCAACAAAGCATATTTCCAACTGTTCTCCTCAATGAAGTTGTCATCTTTACGGCCTTCAATAATATCCTTCCTCAAATTTGTAACCTTGTCAATCACAGCTTGTACAGAAACATCAAATGCATCTTTAAGAGTATCTAATTTAGAGCGAGGGTCAGCATATACTAGTCTTGGAATGAGACTAATGACCTCTTCTCTCATGATTTTCACTTGCTCGTGAGGTATCTGACTTAGCCTTTCCTCTATACCGACATTCCTCTTACGAATATCATTCTCCGGAATGAAGACAGAATACCTGGTATAATTCTTAGGAAGATGCCAAGTATATTGTGTATATGCTGAACCTGGATGGAAGAAGACAGGTATACAACCAGCCAACATTGAATCAAAAGCAGATCTCCGCGTGTAGGAATCACCCTGGGGCTGCAAGCAGAAAAGTGAGCTTTGAAACATCTGCATTATGCTGCTGGGAGAATGACATTTGCTTTCGCCAAAGTCACATTCCAACAGCTTACAAACCCGTGACCTTTTACATTGGTCAATTAACTGACCCCTGATTGATTTGGGGTTGCCAGGACGGGGAGCTCCAGCAAAGGAGAAGAGCCACTTCCTCTCTAATCCCCTCATTCTGTCCTGCCACATGAACACATCAGCATCTTTTGCAGGGTGGAAGTATGTAGGATATGGAATCCCAAAATCATTGGCATTCCAGGGGCTGGACTCAACCACGAGCATGGACATATTCTTTGCTGCTGGTAAAAACAGAAGCTTATTGCCCCAGTCTGATTCTTCATCAGATAATCTCCTGAAATCCCACGTTATCCTTCCTGCAACAAGAAAATGGTCTCTACCATTCATTATGCTCCATTCTGGCCTCTTCACAAGCCAGTCAACCAGATCAAGCGAAGCTGCATCCCTCACTGAAATATTATAACCCCAAAGATAACGTGCAATGTCCAACCCAGCATAAAAGGGTACAAAAACTGCAGCAGCAATAGAGGAATCCTTTGTCAAGCACTCATACTGCTTCATCCGATTTCCGAAAATCACATCAACAGCAAACTGATTTGTAGCATACCAGCCGGTATCAGAGAACACCCCTTCAACATTCTCAAGGGGAGGACCAAGGCCAGCATTGGTGGTGAACTTACACATATTAGTCCAAAGACTCAAAGTCTTGCACTCCTTCAACATATCCTCATTGAACCTTGAGGGAAGGTCATGCACATAAATATACCTCCCCCCACAGGGATCACTCTTGTTTTCAGCAGTTCTCAGTGCTCTCACAAAAGGGAAATCCTTCTGATTCCGAGTGTCATCACTCTTCCGCACCCCAGGGTCAGGGAAGCCAATCTTTCTGGGAGGGGCTTGCACTTGAGGGACATCATTTACATGGATTGGGGTGGGTTCATAATAAACAGAAACAGGTACTAATTTGGTTGAGTGATCAATATGATTATTATTGTTACTACTATTATAATTATTCTTATTATTATTATCTCCTGCAAGGATCACAAAATGGAAGTACAACAGCAAGAACCAGAAGAATGCAGACAAGGAAGCTAAACAACAAAGCCTGGAATTCTGGTTCTTTGCTGCCCCTTTATCCATTTGGTCATGGCGCCGTCTCATTGCATTCCAATTGCAAACAAACACAAAATTTTGCAATTCATAGGTCACACAGTCAATAAACCTATTTTGCCTAATACCAAAGATTGGGATTAATCTGAGCACCAAGAAAAGGGAACAACTTTGCAGCTAAGCTTAATAGTATTTAAGAGGCAATAACTAAATATCATTGGCGTTGTTGGGATCAAATGAACAACGTTAACACTTAAACAGAGAAAAGGAGTGGCAGTGATTGCTTGATGATCAGTTAAATCCCAACGCAAATCTACAAGATATTGCAAAAACGAAATCATATAAATATAATCGGCAGAAAAATAAAAGAAAAGAGATAGAGAGAGAAATAGTGACTTACGAAGAGAGAGAGAGAGAGACAGAGGAATCCAGAATTTGAAGGAGTGAATTTTGCAGAGAGAGAGAGAGAGAGAGAGAGAGAGAGAGAGGGGGAGGGAGGGGGGTTGATAAATCAACGAGGGAAACGGTGGCGCAGGTTAGCAAGGTACGCCAGGGTTTGTCATATGTGTCGGTGTGTCACGTAGGATTGTGACGCGTAGGGTTGATTGTAGTGTGAGGATGTTATGTTCTGTAATCTGTTCTGTTATGTTCTGTTTTCAATCCTCACTCTTTGCGTTGCATCAATTTCCAAAAACTCCTCCTCCATTGGCTACGGAACAAACCACTCAGTTTCCACATTTATGCCTTCAACTTCACTTTTCAGTTTTTTTTTTTTTTCTTTTTTTTTTTGGGTTTTTTATAAAACTTATTAATGTCTTTGTTTTTAAAGTAATATAATTGTAGGACAATATTATTCTCCTTTCACATAAGATAATTTATCTCATATTTTCTCATTTTGATTTATGGACCCTACTTTTTTTTTTTTGTAATGGTGGAATTTATCTATTTTTTTCTATAATATAAAATAATTATCTTATGTAAAAGAAAATTAATAATACCCATAATTGTATTATGAAAATATTTTATCCAAAGCACTTCACCGATTGCAAGTGTGCAAAAACTAATAATAGGCTACTTGCAGCCATCTCCTACTTGGGTTTCCATTAAGAAGAAAAAACAAATGGTGCTTTTTAAATGTCATTACGAAGGGGTTAGTAAATTGTGACCTTTTTAGAATTTAGAAACCATCCTTTCCCTTTTATATCCTTTATTAGTACGTACGAATCGTGTCATTTATTATGTGAATTTTATGACATATACAAGAGAGATGTACCATATTGCTTTTAATTTGTACATCAAGTCACTAAAAAGAGTGCGTACCGATTCATGCACGCGGGGATCTCAATGGACCAATTCCTTAACAAACGCGTCGACGTCCACTTGTCAAAAGCCACACAGCCCACACCTAAAATATTCTTAAATAATAAATACACTTTGTAAATCGTTTTTACACGAAACAACTTTAAGGCGTCGGTAAGTGTTATATCACCATATGAATCATCTGAGACATCATGATTGGATAAAATTATCTTCGTCTTAATATATATATATATATATATATATATATATATATAATTATCATGCTTACAACTAATTTAATCATCATTAATTTTCATCAATATAACGATAATAATTTATTGAGAATTATTGGCTTGTACTTATTAATTAATTATTAATTTTTAATAAATTTAATAAATTAAAATCGTTGGATTGACGAAAATTAACGATGATTAAATTAATTATAAATGTGATAAACATATTTTGTGCTAAGTATATCCTACCCCATATATATATATAATATGGGGAGATTCTTTTTATATCAGTGTAAGACTAATAAATCTCACACTAAATCTCAGTCGTTGATGGTCGAAAGTCATCGGTTGATATTTGTAATGTAATTAATAATTAATTATTATTAATTAATTCATATGATTTTCTAAAGTATAACTGTTGGATGCACGAAAATCAATGACTGAGATATGATATAAAACTTATTAATCTTACACTGATACAAAATGATCATGATCCTATATATATATATATATATATATATATATATATATATAGGAAAAAATATTTCTACAGCAAATTTTAGATAAAGATATCTACAGCTACTCCAAAAACTACGTCGTTTTGATTAATGAAAGGTGTTTATGTAATTTTAAGTGAATTAATGAAGGGTATTTCAGTAAAATGTATATGATAAAAGAATAAACAAAATTACAGAAACGCTCTTCATTAATTAACCTAAAATTACAAAAAAAACCCTTCATTAATCAAAACGACATAATTTTTAAGAATAGCTGTAGATATCCTTATATATATATATATATATATATATATATATATATATATGAGGCAGGATCATTTGACACCGGTGTCAAATTTGAAGTTTGACACCTCATCTGAGAGCCGTTAGATCGAAAAAGATCAACGACTCTGATTTGTAAGCATGTGACACCATTGATCTTTTTCGATCTAACGGCTCTCAGATGAGGTGTCAAACTTCAAATTTGACACCGGTGTCAAAGGATCCTACCTCATATATATATACATATATATATATATATATATATATATATAGGGGAGAGATCTTTTGACTCTAGATTAAGACTTACAATTCTTACTCCTCATCTCAACCGTTGATTTCCGTCCATCTAACGGTTATTATTTATTTGAAATAAATAAATAATTAATTGTTATAGATAACCGTTAGATGGACGGAAATCAACGGTTGAGATGAGGAGTAAGAGTTGTAAGTCTTAGAGTCAAAAGATCCCTCCCCATATATATATATATATATATATATATATATATATATATTACAAAAAAAATCAAGCGCCTAGAAAGTAACATTACTAACCTCCAAATAGCATAGACTGTGCAAGTAATGTGCTGAAGAGAACAAAAAAACTAACATTATTAAGACCCTCTGCCCCAAAAAATCAAAGCTTCCCACTTCTTCCTTTTTATTATTTTAATTTATTAATTTGTTTATCTTTAAATTTATAAATATTTTTTCTTGATCTGTTGAAGACTGGGTCAAGGGGGGAGGTTGGTTGGAAGTTTGAACCTGATTCAGGACCAAACGAGTGTAAAAGATAACATCCAATTAAAAATATGACTTTAAATTAGATTCAAGACGTTTACATTCAGGAATCAACTAGTATCTGGATTTTATTATCATCACCAAACATGATTGAAAATTCCACATCATGGAAGGGAGATACAAAAGTTAAAACTTTTCAGATCTTTTTTTAACTGGTGAAATGAATGTTGGTAGTACAAGCAAGACGGAAAAATGATTCAGGACCAGACATCCAAAGAATCTTACGGCCAAGCATCTGGAGAGACCCTTTCACTGATCGTAGAACCAAATTGGGGGCCTCCTTTCCTATATGACATAAGAAACTCAACAGGGTATCCCTTCAGCTGATGAGGAACAATTCCAAGATCATTGAAAGTCAAAGCTGCAAATTTTATCAAACAAAAAATGCGGGACATGAGACAGTAAAAGAAAGAGTTCTATAATAATGTCTTGGAACAAAGAAGGAAAGACCTTTAGATAAAATTAAGGAACTTACCATTTTCTGAAACAACAGTATCTGTAGTCAAAGCTTGGATCTCACTCAGATTGAACATGTTAGGAGTGGGTAGCGGAAAAGGGACCTTATTTAGCAATATTTCCCTTGGAGTTGCTATTGCCTGAAATCAATCATATCCCACACGATGTCGGCATTTTATGACACCAAAGCGATACCATATACTCTCAATAGTAAACCGAGTATTCCTCTACCATGAGCAGTTAACCCACTGCTAAAACAAAAAAGGACTGTGTACCAAAATAAAATAAAACAGAAAATGGACCAAGTGATAGCGATCTTCAAATAACAAATGTGATTGTGAGCTACTAACTCAGATACCACCTTACTCTACAGCAAATTAACGCACATCTATACAAGATTGCAAGTTCTACATTTTTAAGTTTAGGCCTTCGGCCAAATTTTATTCATAGTAGTTAATTGCGCCGCGAGCCGCGCCGTACGGGCGTTGCGGTGCCTCGCCGCAAGAAACCGCACCGCATCGGAACGCGATAGCGGCCATTGCGATCGCATTTGCCAAATTGTGGCCATATTGCTGTCATAAGACAAAATGTCAATTTTGTCCTAAATTTAAATGCGTAACAGAAAATGTTTCTTTTTTCATTATTTCTGTTATATATCTATTTCGCTATTTCCGCATCCGCAACCCGCTATAGCGTTATAGCATTTTTTTGGGTTGGTCGCGACATACCGCAATCCGCATTTGATAACTTTGATCTTATTTGCCTTCACAAATATTTGCCTTGTTGCCAGAAATGATTTCCTAGTTACATATTTAATATCGGATAACTGAATATATTTAAAAAAAATGAATCCATCATACATAAAAGTCTATAACTGTGAGACTATTGAGAATTGCATTATATATCATTTATAAACACCCAAAGGATAACAATAACCTCACAAGGCCAAAAATATGTTCATGTCTGGCATTCCAATGGTAACTAGACAAGTAATCAACAAATGAAGAAATGAACACACCTTTGCAATGGGAAAAGGCACCTTCACATATCGAGGCCATTCTCGGATCAAATCATACATAAGATCTGCCTGCATTTAACATAAATATTCTACATCATTTTAACAATTTTCTTCTTCCATTCTTTCTCCTACAGGTAGTTTCTCTTGTTTTGACAAAATATGAAATATAAATAAATAGCAACAAATAAAGTGATAAAGTCAGATATTACCAATTCATGCACAGTAAAGACATCTGGACCACCCAGTTCATAAATCTTTCCCATGCTAGTGCCGTCATCCTTCAAGGCTGCAGTAAGTGCAGAAGCGACATCAACAACATATACAGGTTGGATTCTGCAATAATTGCATTTGTCAGAAAAAAAGATCAAGAAACAAATATTCCAATGCCAACAGGCAGAACCAAACACAACACAATTCACTTAGGTAAAAAAAAAATTGAAGCTCACAGTAATTGCTTGATAGATTTATACATACTTTGTGCTCCCATCCCCAATCAATGGAATAAAGCTATACGTTTTTGCAAAATGAGCCCAGCGGTTTAAAATTCGATCCTCTGTACCAATCATAACAGCAGGTTTCAAGATTGTTGCCTGTTGAAATTGATGTTAGGAATTCTGACATTAATGCTCTAGCAAGTTAGCAAGGCATGAAAATGCCCCTTAAATAACATTTCAGTGCAAAATGAGCACACATATCTAAACTGTATAAGTGCAAATGATTTTTACTTCGTCATTCACATGAAAATGTATTTCTAATTGCTTATCCGGTATACAATTCATCAGCACTTAAACAGAACAAAATGATTTTAAACTATCTTTAAACTTGATATTCAGGAGTTTGCCAAATGAATTCCAAAACTTACAGAGAATAAATTAATCATTTTTTTGGTGAAAAATTAATCATTTTTTATTTACCGTTTGTTTATAGAATAATAGAAGCCCGGACCAAGACAGAGAAGTGTCAGAAGTAATAGAATTAATGTACTAGGATGCTAAAAAATATATTGACTGGTCTTTGCTTCTATCTCTAGCATTTAGGATAATTTGTTTTCACATTAAAAAACATTCAATTAGTTCCATCCAAAAGCCTATAAAAACTTCGTTCAGCTTCAAATGTAAATGTCCAGAGTGAATAGGTGCTCCTTTTACATACACTAAAGGAACTAAAAATAAACTATTTAGCCTAGAAAACAATAAACTAAATGTACCTCAGGCAACTCCCTTAAAACTGCTTCCTCAGCCGCTGCTTTAGCTCTAAGCATCCTGGACGGAGATGAAGGCGATGCACCTAAACAAGAGACTTGAATAAATCTTGTGATACCACCATGCTCTTTGGAAAGCTGCAAGAACTCAGAATATTTACTATACATTTGGAAATCTCACGATCCCATGTTGAATGACAAGTCAAGAGGCATATGATGTGATTTGCATGTTTCTTTTTATTATATAACTGAATAAAAAGAATTACAAAGGAATCATATGCAATGTGGGACTTCGTCCCTCATGCTAAACTACTGCATTTACAATATTCTCAACAAAAACCAATTTAGGAAACCACAAACATTAGAAAAGTAAAAATATTCAAACTAAGCCAAGCCAAGCTTCACAATAGCTCCCTTTTATATGCACTAAAACTCATAATTGTTGTAAGCCTCAAAAAATAAAGACTCAATCCCTCGGAGATAGCTCATAAAGCTTGCAAGAGGCTCCTGATCGCACATAAACAGTTTTGAACCTTTAATACTTTACTGAGGCAAGCTCATTTCTCAACCAAGTTTACCAATAAAATTTTAAATTGAATGCATTATCATTTTGGAAGACTTTCTTTTACATAATTCAAACCTTATGATGCAGCTTCGAGTATCATGAGGCAGTCTTTAAAGAGGGCAGGTGAAAAAAAATCCAGTACCCCCCCTACCCACAGCTGCAGCACCACCTTTTGGGGTGTAGAGGGAGCAGCAGGAATAGTTACAAAACATCAAGTCAGTTTAAAGACAGTCACACTGAACAGTTTGGACATGTCCAATATTTACCGTTTGGGATCATTACTAGTTGATCAGATCCCATAAAAAACACAATAAATTCTTAAGAAACCCTCATGGTTTAGGGTTTAGGAATATAGTCAGAATATTCATTTTCTGACTACCCTAAACTTTAGAGTTGACATGTTTATTGGCGTACAAAGGATACATTTAAATTCATTTTCTTTGTAAGAATTTGATAGGAATATAGTCATGTAAGTATATGTAGGTATATGTAAGTTGGGTAGTAGGGGATTATGGGAGCATGACAAGTCTGTTAGTCAGAATATTCTAGAAGAATGAGTTTGTTAGAGGAAAAAAGGAGGGCAGTGCTGAGGTGGCAAGGTTGTTAGAGGGAATAAAAGGTGTAGAGTGGCGTGAGCAGAGGCATGGAAATAGATTGGAATTTGGGACTTGGGCTGGGAAACCAGATTGGGAGAGAACTAACACCTCTCTAATGTGTTGAATTGTATCTTTCTTTCTTTCCATTTTCTGTCTTCGTAGCTGATAGGAAAACCTCCATTGTAGTAGCTCGAGTCTTTGTTATTTTCATTACTATTGCTTGTGATTTCAGCTTATTAATATACAGAAAATCCAGAAGGTGTTCATTCTGGGCCAAAATACTCTGTTCTTCGTAGTTATTTTGCTTCATCTCTGATCCAGTTCTATCAGAATTAAAATGAGATATTGTTATTGCAAAAACAACAATTTACAGACTTGTCAGTAAAAAGGTGCATGTTTTCACCGAGAGAGGGAGAGAAAATAGTGAGTGAATGATAATTTGAGATGTTAACTGATGATATAGGATGAGAGCAGCAGAATATACTTTCGCAAGTTGCTCAGCCATGTTATGGTTCACTTCCTCAAAGCTGTAGTTTCTTGTCTCATAATCCCTTCCTGCCACAACCAAATCAGCCAGAATGAGTGTGTGATTAAAGGACTAAAGGACAAAAGGTCATATATTCCAACGCTTTGAAACATTCAAGGTGCAGAATTACATGAGAAGATGTATACCAATAAGATTGATAACAACATTGGCCTTAGCCATCACAGCTTTTACTGAACTTTCATCTCTTGGATTGTATTTCATGGGTACAATCTGGGCATATTAATCACTGGAAGATTAGTACAAATAGCAGATAGAAATAACCCATGCACATAGCACTATTTTCTTTTCCATGCAGACCAAAAAGAAAGAGGCAAGAGTGGACTCTTTACATGTATAAAATAATTATCTTATGCTACCTGTCCTAAATCCCCCATCAGTTTGAGATGACGGTGACAATCTTCAGAGCCTCGGAAAGGAATTAAGACTTGAGATCCCATTTTAGCTGGAAGAGGGGAATGGCATCACCAAAATAAGCAATACAACATAGTAAGAAAAAAAGTGAAGTTAATAGTCATAACGGAATTTATTTCAAAATATTCTATTTACAGAAAAAATAACTAAAAAAAATTGAAAAATATTCTGGTAAGTTTTACTTTGAAACAAATATATATCCCAGAAACTTACCAAGTCGTTGCACAACATAACGACCTAGGAATCCAGTCGCCCCAAATACTGTAGCAATAATGCCGCTGCAAAAAGAATTGCGTTCAAGCATTATTTTAACTATCAATCATCTGTATAAGCTAACAAGACTACTTTAACTACACACCAAAACCTTCTCAACTCTTCAATTAAATCCAAAAAAGCAAAGGTAAAAAAAAAATTCAATAGGCAAGTGAACCAAGTAGAGGTCAAAATAAGATTTTAATTCTCCTATGATGCTCCTAATCCATTAAGGACAATTAAGTATAATTCATACTACAAGAAGCTTTTTCAAATTATAACCCTTTATATCCAATCAGAATGCATAAGAACCAAATTGAAAAAAGAGACTAGCCTCCTGAAGAATTATCCCTAGCCTTAAAACTGCAGACCTACTATGAGAATGGCTCAATACAAAAGAAATATCCATGATATAACTCCAAAAGATATAATACTAAACACCACAGATCCTACCAAAGAGTGAATTAGTGATAATAAAAAAGATTATTCACAGTAACTGATCCTTAAGAAACAAGCAAAACCAACCTACAGTTGCATCCAACCAATCTTAAAAACATTTCATGAACATCAGTTCATCCTACGTAAGGCAACTTCATTTCTTCAAAACTTTTAAATGAAATTTTCAGAATGGCTGAAATACGTCTAGTTAGGAAACTTAACCTTATCTCCTGCTACACATTAGTCAAGAGGTGAAAAGATTTGCTTTACTAGGTATCTAAGCACGCCAACTGAGTGACCAAAATCAACAGGTAATGGAGAAATTATTAGATGTTGCCTTCACTCTCACTCGTGATTACAGCTTTAGTTTTTCTCAATTGCTCATGCAAGTCATGTATGACCAAAATCCCAGCCCAAACACTGGGTCTACATTATGGCAATGTCAACCTAGAGACTTAGTCCTATAGCAAGCTCAAGCGAAAGAGAATTCTCAAGCCTCATTTATACCATTTATATAGCTCTCCAGGAGGAAGGGAAGCCTTAAACAACGGTAGGTGTTGAACTCATGTGACCCAACTGTCACACGATTCGATTCATGTAATCAACCTCTGGAAAACCCAAGGTAAGGCTACCTACTATAGATCCTTCACTGAACCAAATTTATATAGCTCTCAAAGAGTTAATTCAATAAATCAAAGAATTGTCTGACAATCCAACCCCAACCCCCTTGACCATACTCATTTCATTCCACAGTAGACTTCCATTAAGTGTCATACAAGTAATATCACAGTCAAAACTCAACTTGAGAGCTTAGAACTCATACAAAATAATCTAAAGGAGCTTCTATTCCCACATTTCTGGGAGCCTAAATTTTTTACCCTATAAATGAAATTTTTTCAATGTAATAATGTAAATCCACAAAAATAAAAAATAAAAAATCTAATAGTCATAATTTTTCCGACACGAAAACGAACAATGAATGAAATTGAAAGGAATAAAGGAGTGAAGTTTACCTAACGGATGATCGTCCACCAGTACCCTTATGGACAAGGTGGCCCGCGCCTTTAGTCGAGAGTGTAGAAACGTAACGCTCTTGATCTGATCCATAGTCTGCAAAGAACAATTACCATTGCAATTGCAATTAGCTGGAAAAAGGAGTTGAGAGAAAAGCACAGATTAATGCACGAAATGGAACATTACGGTGATTGAAAATTGGATAGAAGGACTTGAGAGACGTTGATGGATTTGGCGATTGGTGCCCTAAGCGCCTCGCAATGGCCTGCATCTTACCGTGCCCACACTCTCACACACACAACAAAAGAGAAGCTGGAAGAGGAAGAGAAGAGAAAGAGAAAGGCAACACAGAAATGCGATGAGTGAGTTGTTGATGGTGAACGCGACCTGAATTGGGCTCCATATTATACATGGCCCAGATCCGTGCTCGTTTAATAGAATTGGGCTGTGAAGGCCCTAAACATTTTTATCTTTTTTATGATTTGGTATAAAAAATGTGTTGCCCATAACTTATTTGTTATTTTTTTTTAGGATAAGATATTATGTTTATTTTTTATGCATATTTTATTTATTTCTCTCAACGTCATTCTTTCTTCTCTCTCTTCCCACTGTTGGTTAGGATTGTGATCTAATAATATGGAAAGTGTTGAAAGAGAATTTTTTTAAATGGCTTATGGAAAAAATCTCAACTCCATCTTATATATAGGATTTACAATCCATAATAAAAGGAAATATTTGTAGATACACAATCTCTAAAATTATGGGGTCTATTTCCTAAAATAAAGATACTATTAAGATATCTTTTAATATTTCCCCTCAAGTTGGAGCATTTAGATCATTTGACCAAGCTTGTCACAGATGAAATGAATTTGAGGATCATGTAGCGACTTTGTGAAAATATCAGCCAACTAATCACTTGAGTTAACAAATTTAATGATGATTTTCTTGGAAAGAACCTTCTCCCTCATAAAGTGACAATCAATCTCTATATGTTTGGTCCTCTCATTGAAAACTGGATTTAATGCAATGTGCAAAGCAGTTTGATTATCACATATAGTTTCATATGATCTACGTTTCCAAACTTCAACTCACTAAGTAACTGTTTTACCCATATAAGTTCCTATTTGAGCATTGTCATGGCTTTATACTCAGTTTGTGCACTAGATTAAGCCACCATATTCTGCTTATTGCTTTTCCATGAGAAAAGATTACCTCCAATAAAAACATAGTATCCTAAAGTAAATCTCGTATCAATAGGAGAGTTAGACTAGTCAGCATCAGAGTATCCCACTACTTGAGAATTACCCTTGTCTTCATACATCAATCCTTGACCCGGAGTATTTTTGATATATCGTAGGATTCGTGCCATAACATTCCAATCATTAACACACGGAGATTGCATGAATTGTCATACTACACTAATTGCGAAAAAGATGTCTAGTCCAGTTAGTGTAAGGTAGTTGAGCTTACCAACCAATCTTCGATACCTGTCGAGATCTAAATACGACTCTTCCTGGTCTAGTAATAGTTCATTGTTTGGATCCATGGGAGTGTTAATAGGTTTACAGTTTGTCATACCAATTTTTTGCAATATATCCAAAGCATATATTTTCTGTGAAACTACAATACCATTCTTTGATTGAGCTACCTCAAGACCAAGGAAGTATTTGAGCTTTACCAAATCTTTGGTTTGAAAATGTCTAAACAGATGCTTCTTAAACTGAGATATTTCATCTTGATCATTGCCTGTAATAACTATATCGTAACATAAACTATCAAATAAATGCATCGACCGGATAGATTGTATCCGAAGAAGACTAAATGATCGGCTTCACTCTACATTAGCCCAAACTCCTACACCATTGTACTAAACTTACCAAACAAGCTTGGAGAAATTGTTACAACCCATAAAGAGATCGTTTCAACTTACAAACAAGTCGTGATTCCCCCATGAGAAACAAACCCAGGTGGTTGCTCCATATAAATCTCTTCTTCAAGATCACCATGAAGGAAGACATTTTTAATATCGAATTGATACAGTGGCCAATGTCCAATGACTGCCATGGCACGAAAAAAATGGACAGAAGTCATTTTGGCCACTGGAGAGAAGGTGTCACCAGAATCAAGATCATAAGTCTAAGTGTAACCTTTGGCAATAAGTCAAGCTTTGAGCCGATCAATATGACCATCAAGGCATATATTGATAGCATAAACCCAACGACACCCAACAAACTCCTTTCCTTGGGGAAGGGAAACCAGCTCACATGTACCACTATGCTCAAGGGTATTCATCTCATCAATCATGGTCTGTCGCCAACCAGAATGTGAAAGGGCCTCACCTACAATGTTAAGAAGTTGAAAGAGCACAAGGAAGAAACAAAAGCATAATATTATGGAGACAAATGATGAAAAACTTAAGAAGTTATAAATAGGATAAGGTTTGCGAGTGGATCGAATACCTTTTTAAAAGGCAATAGTAAGATTATCAACATACTCACTTGGGTCAGATGGATCCATCGTAGATGAAGCATTTGGAGCAGGACATGTTTCACGAGGGAGGAACTTGATTATTGACTACTGATGTAGGTATATGATTGATCAAATAGCAAGCAGTCAATACAATATTACCCCAAAAGTGTAAAGGCATTTTAGCTTGTAATATTAATGTACGAGTAATTTTAATAAGATGATGATTTTTTTCTTTTAGACACTCCATTTTGTTGGGGTGTATGTGCACATGATGATTGATGTAAAATACCATGAGAAGACATAATTGATGAGTATTCTGTGAAAAATATTCTTTAGTATTATCACTGCATAAAATTTTAATGGACTTGCCAAATTGATTTTGAATTTCGGTATATAAGGATTGGAATATGGATAACACCTTAGACCTTTCTATCATTAAGATCAACCAAGTACATTGAGAATAGTCATCACTAAAAGTAACAAAATATTTAATCAAAGAGAATGGGAACACGACTTGGACCTCATACATCAGAATGAATGATAGTAAAAACAGACTTTGTTTGACTCTTAACTTGACTCATAAAGGAAGCCCGAATATGCTTTTCAAGTTGACACGACTCACAATTGAGAGACTTCAAACTTGCAAGACTCGGAACCATTTGATGAAGTTTTGACAAACAAGGATGGCCCAAAATCTAATGTAGAAGGCCAGGAGATTCAGTAGCAGCACACACCACATGAGGGATTTACTTGAGATGATAAAGTTCAAATGATTCATGTTATGCTCTGATCGTCTCTTCCATACCATGGTCTTGTATGATAAAAGAATCAAAATGTTAAAAGTTATCGAACAGATACGAGATTTGGTAACTTTTAATATTTTGATTCTTTTACTGACATTAATATCATGAATTTTATTTTCCATGTCCATCTCACGATTTACTATCTTATATTACCTTTCGATCTTAAGATCTCGATTTTATATATATAAATATTATATTTTATAGTTAAAATTATAAATGTAAATCTCACGATTTAAGATCTTATCGTCCACGAATTCAAGATCTGAATATCAAACCTTGTTTCCTACGTTCTCCTAGAGCCATCAAAACAGGTCAACTCGTCTTGTAGTCTCTAACATGTATTGGTTAAGGTAAAAAAAACCCTCAAATACAAAACTAATATAACCCCACATATTAGGGCAGCCTTTGGACTAAAAAAACAATTAAAAAATTAAATTTCTTTGTAACTTTAGACTAACTCAAAAAGAAAGCATTCTAAAGAAAGTAAAGTAACAATAGCACCATATACACAAAGCCTTGAAATGTAAGTGTAATTAATGTTTCAAAAGCTAAAAGAAATCAGAAGTATTGAAACTCTGAAAAAGAAAACTTTTATTGATGCACTGAAATATAAGAATATGGAAATAGAAAATAACATAAAAATATATTCGATAAAATTTCAAATAATGACATTCGTAGATTTCCATTCAAGCCTGCAGTGTCAAACTCCAAACTAGCCTTGCTGCTATTTTCTTTCTGCTTCTGTTTTAATCATGAAGATATTGCATGAAGTCATAATTATTCATTTTGTTGTAAATATAATGGTGAAGGCATGGGTTGACTACGCATGTGCTATGTGTCCTTCATCTGCTTATCATAAATCTAATCAATAACATGAAAAAACAAAAGGAAAAATCATCCACTTCTAATTTATATTAATTAAGTCTTGTTAGAAAGAACATAATTGATTCCAAATAAATGCTCAAGGAATTTAAAACTCACTCTGGCCCTCTATCCACAGTAATTACCTTAACCCAATAAACTCTTATATTAAACAATTATAGAAAGAGACTTACATAAATAGTAAAACACACCAAATGAAAAAATAGGATAATTGAAAGTGGTTTTTTTAATATGATCAGTGCTTCCACAACAGTGATAGCACTGCTACGGAAAATTTTATTAAATATGATAAATGATCTAAGAATTTTTTGCGAAAAGATGTCATGACAACATAGATAGAACAGGGAAAGACATCAAAAAGCATCTCCAAAGACATGTATAAAAGTGGAACAAAAAACACTTACAAAATGAATATATTAATTATAAGAATACTACTCAATAAATGGAAGCAATACCTTTTTATATTTACTTTTCCGTGTTAAATTATGGCCATCCTTCCTTCTCTTGCTATTTTCTTTCTTTTATAACAGAATGCAAAACAAAAATGTAGTATAATAGGAGCAAGCAGAAACTAAGCTTTAATCAATCTCATATAACCCAAAAATAACAGTAAGTTTCTTTTTTATTATTATTAAGGGTGGAGAGGGTTCCAAAAGAAATTAAAGTGTCTTGCAATTCTAATAGAGGAGCAATCATTAATTACCTTTTTCGCGGTGGCGGAGTCAGAGGTAAAACTCAGCTGGTGCCAAAAGATCCAACCACACAAAATTTTGCAGGTGCTAAAGTTGTATTATTTATGAAAACTCAACTAGTGCTGAGGTTGTATCATAATTTTTTTTAAAAATTTATACCATTTTAAAAAATTAACTGGTGCCTGCTTTTTCCTTCAAGAAGGCACAAGATGGTTAGTCTTGAAGAACTTCATCAAGTATTCAACATTACTCAGTAAATCTTATTAAGAATCTTATCTGAGTTGAAGAACAATTTATAACAAATCCACGAGAATAGGTAACAAAACATGTCAGCGGGTCGGGTTCATCAAGATTTGACCCATAGGTCAAATGATTCAACTTGAACACGATCTGTTTTTTTTTCACGAGTCAAGAACTGAAGCCCAGACATAACCCATCGCGGGTAGTAGGTTACCTGGGTGGGTTGGTCTCGCAAAAATTAAAAAATTATTTTTTTAAAAAAAGTTA